TTGTTACCGAGTTCGATTAGGCTCGCGATCCTAAATGAGTCAATATATATTATAATATAAAATTATTTTTTTACTTTATATATTACATTTTACTAATAAAGTAACAAGCTTTCTTAATATCTTTTAATCGGCACATTCATTTTTTTTCAATTCAATTTTCAAAGCATACCTTCACACGCACGTTATCTTGCCATCTAGGGTTTTGTATTGAGTAGTGAAGTTACATCGAGGAAGATTTGTTTATTTATTTTTTAATTTGGGAGTTTAACTACCATTTTGTAATTTGAGCTTTTACTCTTTATATTTTTATGTTTCACATTAAACCAATGGAAATATGGAATGTATGAATGTATGTTATGACTTTGGATTATACAGTTGAACGTTTGATAAATAATCAAACGAGCTCAAAAACCATAAACGAGCTCGAGTCGAGCATTGGCTCGTTTAGACTCGCATACTAAACAAAACGAGGTTGAGCTGAGCCGAAATCAAGTATGTTATTTTTTCCACAATCTGAGCATGAGCTTTGAAACTATGCTCAAAACGAGCCAAGCTCGAGCTCGAGCCCGAGCCCAAATGAATATAAACGAGCTTGAGGCGAGCTTGGGTATGTTTGGGTTCGACTTAGCTTATTTACACCCCTACCTACCACCATTATTTTAAAGTATTTGTAATTAAAATCACTTAGACGGGATGAAATCATGTCATATGTATTGCATTGCCACCTCAGTTGTTTGGGTGTCATTTAACTTTGCCACATAATATGTGAACTTGCCATTGGGGAGGGGCATGTTAACTTGATATATATATATATATATATATATATATATATATATATATATATATATATATATATATATAAAGTAGGTTCACACGAAAACATAAATATTTTGTGAAAATACGAAAACATATTTTATCTTATAAAATATCAAACACATGTACCTTAGAAATTAATTTTTTTAGCAATAAATTAAAGATAATAAGTTTATATTGGAAGGTGTTATGTAATAAAGATTTAAAGGTGGTTCTAACAACCGTTTTTTTTTCACGTCCTTAACCACTTTTAAATTCAAGTTTTCATAATAAAATGTCAAAAAACATGTTTTGCTAATATGAAACAATTTCTCATGTATAATTGATTATCATCATGTAGTTCAAAGTTTTGGATGAATCTTTGTCCCAAATATAAGGTTGAGGTGACACAATCTCATAGGTTTTCCTTGTTTTCGCAAATTATTTGCATTTTTGCATAAGAAAAACATAACAAAATTTAAAGTCTTCATATCTTCGAGATTATATTTATTTGCAAATCCCGCATTCACCTTCAATGCGATTCGACGTTCATTCTGGAAAGTCTTTCGATTTCAAGTAAAAGTTAGGTTGGAGATGAGGGGTAAAAATAACATTCATTAGAAGGTAAAGGGACTTTGTGTAACTTGGAATAAGGTAATTATACTTTCAATCAACCAATGATAACAATACAAGTGTCCAAGCGTACCGAAACTAAACATCCACATAGCCACGTAGGTGTAATGCCCACACAGCACGTGACCCACTCTCAAATTATTGGATAAATCAGACCATGTCAGCACCCATCTGTCTTATTATCCACGTCAGCACACCTCCCTAATCCACCACTCCTGTATAAAAACCTCTCAACTGACTCCATAATTTTCACTCACCCAAATACAAAAAACAAGCAACCTTTTTTTACCACCATTAACGTCGGCGACCACAACCTCGCCGGAAAATGAATATTCCGGCAACCGAGTTCTACTCATCCAAACGCCTTCCTAATGCAAGGGTTCCTGTTCATCGCCGTCACATTCTCCATGAAAAACACTAGAACAAGTTTTCTCTTTCACATTTCGGAAGTTATCCGTTTCTTATCGCTAACACCGAGAGGAAAGGTATCGATTTTGTTTCTTTCACACTGATTTCCTGATCCGGAGAAGTAATCACGTAACGTAGTTATTATTCTGATGCATTGATTGCACTGGTACTCTCTGCACCGATCGTGTATAATTTCTGTAAAAAACTGAGGGTTTTCTGTAGGCATTTAGTGAATTTTTGGTACGAAAGAACCAGTTCTGATTTTAATTTTAACAAGAGTTTGTACGAGCGATATCTCTCTCTCTTTCTGTGAGAAGAGAAGGAACTGACGGTATTATTAAGGCAGAGTAATCCATAGTTTAGTAAATAGCTATGCATTTCCAGATGAAGATTCAGCCGATCGATAATCAGAGTTACGGAGAATCAGTTAATTTGGAGGCTCCGGCGACGGTGACGTCAAAGCCGGTGTTGAAGTCTCGGCTGAAGAGGCTTTTCGATCGGCAATTCCCGAGCGTTCTGAAGAACAATTCGGAGAAGACAAACGGAGCCGGGGAAGTCAAAGATGGAGAATTCGAACCGAGCTCTGTTTGTTTGGCTAAAATGGTTCAGAATTTCATCGAAGACACCGCTCCTGAGAAGCCGAAATGCGGACGCAATCGTTGCAATTGTTTCAACGGAAACATCAACGACAGTTCCGATGACGAATTCGATCTCTCTTCTGCTTCATTTTTTGGTGATTCACACCCTAGCTCCTGGTTTGGAGATTCTTCCGAAACACTCAAGGTAAACTACGACACGTTTCACTGTTTTCTTTTTTCGTGTAAGATTTCGTTTATTTAATAGAAATTTGGTTGTGATTCTGTAGAGCTTGACGCCATGCGCGAGTGTTGCTCAGAGAAATCTCTTAGCCGATACCTCGAAGATTGTTGAGAAGAACAAAATTTGCAAGAGGAAAGATGAATTGAAGAAAATTGTTGCTGAAGGATTACTGTTAATCGGCTACGATGCTTCGATTTGTAAATCGCGTTGGGAAAAATCATCTTCTTATCCTGCTGGTAATCATCTCTCTCTATCTTACTCGATTCAATTTGTTTAATCGTTTGACTTTTGTTTGTGAATTGTGATTCAATTTCCGTTTGTTTTGGCAAACAGGTGAATACGAATACCTAGATGTTATCGTCGACGCCGGAGATAGGGTGTTAATTGATATAGATTTTAGATCGGAGTTCGAGATAGCTCGGCCGACCGGGAACTACAAAGCAATCCTTCAATCACTGCCGTACATCTTCGTCGGCGAAGCCGATCGTCTGCAACAGATTCTGTCGATTGTATCTGAGGCGGCGAAACTGAGCTTGAAGAAGAAAGGAATGCACATTCCTCCATGGAGGAAATTCGAGTACATGAGATCCAAATGGCTGTCGGCACACATCAGAACCCTACCATCACCGTCGCCGTCAGTACTACCTCCACCACCACCAACTCCACCTCCAACACCAGACGCCAACGCCGCCGTGAAGCAGATATTTTCAAAAGCCACAACGGAACAGAGAGATCCGTCACCGCCATTCGAGTCCGAGTGCGGAGTTTTTGAACTTATTTTTGGAGAAGAAACGACGGCGTCGGAGTCAACGGAGAAAAATCAATTATCTCCGGCGGGTGTTTTGGTGAGAAAGTCCGATGAAGGTTTTGAATCGTCGGCGGCGGGAATATGGCAGCCACCGGCGATAAAACCGAGGAATGTGGAGAGAGGAAGTAAATTAGTGGTCACCGGATTAGCTTCTCTTTTCAGAGAGAAAGCATGAAGGAATAAACAAATTTTGGAATTATTTACTTTTTTTTTTCTTTTTCTTTTCTCCTTTACTCATTTTCCACGAGTAAAAAAAAAAATCAAAATCATATATATATATATATATATATATATATATATATATATATATATATATATATAAAGAATGCAAATATTATATAGAAAATCTTTTTTCATGCTCATTCTTATACCTTGAATGCAAAACAACTTATTATTCTTATCGTATTAAAGATAAAGATATATAATAATTCTCATGTAAAATTAAGGTAAAGTTTGTTTTAAAAATTGCTCTTATTTTTTATTTATAATATAAATAAATTAAAATTTAACTGTAAATTTGATAATATCTGTGTAAATATATTATTAAGCAAACAGATTTGGCTGAAATGTGAGAGCCAATGAAGAGAATTTACAAAGCGTCGAATTTCAATAACCTAATCGAATCGGGCAGGATTCTTATTGGTCACATTTCTTCCGGGCTTTACAAACACAAATACCAATTACTTGATGTTACTTGGAAAACTCGCAAAATATCTGACCCAAAACTTATATATAATATATTATATATATATATATATATATATATATATATATATATATATATATATATATACGGTATAAAAACCCGTGTATTACAAGGCTGACTAAAAAAATTAAATATTAAAATATGAAAATTAAGTATTTTTTTAAATAAAATCTTTAAATAAGGAAAGAAAAAACGTATTAACTACAATTTCTATCATATTTATTATATTTAATACTTTGCATATATACATATACAAGTAATATGTGGCTTTTTAAATTTAAAAATTGGAAAAACTTAGAAATTAACATGTGGATATTATTTATTTCAAAAATATCATAAAATGACCAGTGTCAAAAACAATGAGAGATTGAAATTGGCAAAAAATGGATCTTCATTTATTATAGTTGATATATATATATATATATATATATATATATATATAGATAGATATATATATATATATATATATATATATATATATATATAGAGAGAGAGAGCTACGTTTAGGTGTTTAAACTAATTATTATGTTATTGTATGCATAAATGTGGGTCAATCAAAATTAAATAAAAAATTAAATAATTAAATAAATAAATAAGGGTAATAAAGTAATTTTGTAAATAACTTCTACAAATACTTCCTATAATTATACTAGTTATTTTGACTTTGACCTAATTTCTTCTCATTCTTATATACGACGTTCACTATCAAAAACCATATTCCACCATAAAAATCTTCCATCGACGACCACCCCCTCGATTTACAACAACGCCTCACCACTTCCACCGATCCCCATCAACAATCTTCTTTGTACCAAAGATCATCATCGCCATCGTTCATAATCTCGAAGAATAGAGGAAGGTCGGAGCTGGCTTCCATTGCCGACTGAATTGTTGCTCGTTGTTGTTCTTCACACACTCACCCCCTAAACTCTCTATTTCATCCGTACCTTTTATCTCCACAGTCGGCATGGCGTCGATCGACGTTTGAGGCGTCGGTGGCTGGCCGTCCTTCCTCATCAGATCGTTCATCAGGGATTCGAAACCAGTAGTAGCGCCACCTCCGATCACCACCATTCCTTGCGCCACTGGGTTGATCAGGATGATCCTGTCGAGTGACGAACCCTGATGATGAAGACTGTTTGTAGATTCGTGATCCGGATGTTCGGAATCGCGACATGAATCCGATTCCGGCCTGGTGGTTGTGAAGCCTGAAAGGAAAGGCATCTCCATGAGCCTCTCGGTCAAACGAGATACTGATAACTCTGGTTCTGAAGCCAT